TGTAGCTGCCTTTGCGTTGAGTGGCAGCCCAGTTCAAAAGAGACACCGTGTGAAAACAGAGTGCCCCGGGCACAGTGTCCCGGTTTGCCCTTGCCAGCATCGTATGTCAGCCGAGTCTTTGCAGGTTGCTTCGGAATGCGCTAGACTTGCCTCGTCTGCTGTGTTCGTTGTCTAGTTTTTGTGTCTAAGAACATCAGAGAAGCCAATGTTGGATCAGGCCAATGGCCTATCCAGTCCAACACTCTGTGTCACACTGCGGCCAAAAATACCAGGTGCCATCAGGAGGTCCATCAGTGGGGCCAGGACACCAGAAGCTCCAACATACCACCCCTAAATATATAGGTCTTTTGCAACCTGCAGTTAGCAACCCTACTCCAAGGATCTTGGGACCACACACGTAACACTCTGTGCTAATTTTGCCCCCACAACAACCCTGTAAGGTAGGGTAGGTAGAGAACTCGTGACAAACCCAAGATCACTTAAGATTCCTAGGCTGAAAGCGGAGGAATTGTGTGAAGTGAAACAGGATGGATCCCAGCTGGGGATTATCTGTAGATTTGCCAGACCCCCTAGGGTTGCCGGAAGGAATTTAAAACAAGAAATCACTGGCAACAAATATCAGCCCTCTCTAGGCACAGGGGCTGAGAGCTGATGGATCTCCGCTCCATATGCTTATCTAATTCCCTCTTATAAGAACATAAGAGACGCCAATGTTGGATCAGGCCAATGGCCCATCCAGGCCAACACTCTGTGTCACACAGCGGCCAAAAATACCAGGTGCCATCAGGAGGTCCAGCAGTGGGGCCAGGACACCAGAAGCCCTCCCACTGTTGTCCCCACCCCCAAGCACCAAGAATACAGGGCATCACAGTTTGTTTTACTTTTTCTGTTTAGCTGTGTTATTGATAGTCCACCTTCTTCCCAGGGACTCGAGGCAAATTACCCAGAGCGAATCAGGACAATCAACAAGTTCAATAAATTATGCAATAGGTTTCAGTTGTAGAAGCCTGGTAGTAGCCAGCAAGTGTAAGAGTAAGATTGTGCATGTGTGTGTGTATTAAGAAATGCCAAAAAAAAAAGCAGCTAGATGGGTAGGGGAAAGAGGCTCCTGTGCTTTGAAGGGGTTTTGGAGAGAAGCCGGCTTTCTGACTCACGCAGTCTAAAGCCTCTCCTTTCGAAGCTCCAGCTGCCCTCCAAATATTTGAGGTCTGGAAGTGTTTGACACACACATACCCTCCACCTTTGCAGCCAACCCCCCTTGCAGCCAATCTCCCTAAACTTACACAGGTTCAGGTTTGTCATGGGCTTTCCTAAAATGGCGACAGGTCTAAAGAGTTTGAGGGAGAAGAGAGCTCTCCTTGCCTGGGGGAGGCCAGTGGTTGAGCCAGAAGGTCAAACCTCACCGTCTGCCACGGAGCTCTCAGGTCTCACTGGAGCATGTTCTGTTAGGGAACTGGCAGCGGGGACCGAGGAGATGTCTGCAGCCGAGCACGTGAAGGTGGAAACTGGCCAGGAGGACCAAGAGGAGGGCCTGCAAAGGCACAATCCCAGAGACTCAGTGAGCAGTCGGGTTAGAACGGATAAAAGGAAGTCCTTCTTCACCCAAAGAGTGATGAACACATGGGGTTCACTGCCACAGGAGGTGGTGGCAGCTACAAGCATGGACAGCTTCAAGAGGGAATTGGAGAAACATAGAGCAGAGGTCCATCAGTGGCTATTATCCACAAGGCATAGATAGGGACTCTTGGTCTGGGGCAAGGGATGCTCTGTCTTCTTGGGGGGGGGTAACAGTGGGAAGGCTTCTAGTGTCCTGGCCCCACTGCTGGACCTCCTGAGGGCACCTGGCATTTCTGGCCACTGTGTGACACAGAGTGTTGGACTGAATGGGCCATTGGCCTGATCCAATGTTGGCTTCTCTTATGTTCTTATGGATAAGCATGTGGAGCAGAGGTCCATCAGTGGCTGTTAGCCACAAGGTATAGATAGGAACTCACAGTCTGGGGAAAGGGATGCTCTATATCCTTGGTGTTGGGGGGGGCAACAGTGGGAGGGCTTCTGGTGTCCTGGCCCCACTGCTGGACCTCCTGAGGGCACTTGGTATTTTTGGTCACTGTGTGATGGGAGTGTTGGACTGGATGGGCCATTGGCCTGATCCAACATTGGCTTCTCTCATGTTCTTATGTTCAGTGGGTGAAGTCTTCGTTGTTTTGTCTGGCACGCCCCCAACGACCCCTCCTCCCTAACCAATGTGTTTAGGTTTTGTATATATTTTGACAGTTTTGTATATATTTTAACTCTGCTTCTTAACTCTTTGCAAAAATTTTAATGGCACATGTTGATTTTAATGGTTTTAGTAATGTAATTTCATCTTTAGAAAAGGGCAAGAGTCCAGCAGCACCTTCAGGACTAACAAAATTTGTGGCGGGGTATGGGTTTTCATGAGTCATGGCTCACCTCTTTGTGGGAGGGCTTCTAGTGTCCTCCTGGCCCCACTGCTGGACCTCCTGATGACCCCTGGTATTTTTGGCCACTGTGTGATGGGAGTGTCGGACTGGAGGGGCCACTGGCCTGATCCAACATTGGCTTCTCTTATGTTCTTATATGGAGCAGAGGGCCATCAGTGGCTGTTAGCCACAAGGTATAGATAGGAACTCACAGTCTGGGGCAAGGGATGCTCTGTATCCTTGGTGTTGGGGGGAACAGCAGTGGGAGGGCTTCTAGCGCCCTGGCCCCACTGCTGGACCTCCTGATGACCCCTGGTATTTTTGGCCACTGTGTGATGGGAGTGTCGGACTGGAGGGGCCACTGGCCTGATCCAACATTGGCTTCTCTTATGTTCTTATATGGAGCAGAGGGCCATCAGTGGCTGTTAGCCACAAGGTATAGATAGGAACTCACAGTCTGGGGCAAGGGATGCTCTGTATCCTTGGTGTTGGGGGGAACAGCAGTGGGAGGGCTTCTAGCGCCCTGGCCCCACTGCTGGACCTCCTGATGACCCCTGGTATTTTTGGCCACTGTGTGATGGGAGTGTCGGACTGGAGGGGCCACTGGCCTGATCCAACATTGGCTTCTCTTATGTTCTTATATGGAGCAGAGGGCCATCAGTGGCTGTTAGCCACAAGGTATAGATAGGAACTCACAGTCTGGGGCAAGGGATGCTCTGTATCCTTGGTGTTGGGGGGAACAGCAGTGGGAGGGCTTCTAGCGCCCTGGCCCCACTGCTGGACCTCCTGATGACCCCTGGTATTTTTGGCCACTGTGTGATGGGAGTGTCGGACTGGAGGGGCCACTGGCCTGATCCAACATTGGCTTCTCCTACATTCTGTTAAGTTCTTAGTGGTAGAGGATGCGCTTGGCATGCAAAAAGTCCCCGGTTCAATCCCCAGCACCTTCAGGTAAAGGACAAGTCAAGTGGTGTGAAAGACCTCCGCCTGAGTCCCTGGAGAGCTGCTGCCCGTCCGGGTAGAGAAGACCGACCTGGATCCAGCAGTCTGATTCAGTACAAGGCAGTTTTGTCTGTTCACGCCTCTTTCGGCAAAGCGTTCTTTGGGAGCAGGCTTGTGTGGGCGCTCCCGTGGCGTTCCGGGTTCAATGATGCTGGTCGCAGCCAGCCCAGCAAAGGGAACTGTGGGGTTTTGTGACGGTAGGAAGAAAGCGGCTTTTCTTGGGAACTCTCCCTCCCCTCCCACTCCCCATCCTTTCCTCGTCAAGAACGGCTGGAATGTTGACTCGGGAAAGGGCGACGGGTTAAGCCCCACCGTAGCAGAAGCGCTTCCCCCTGTGACCAGGCTACCCCGGCTCTTAGCACCCTAAGACGAATCACATGGGCGGCAGCCGGGAGGTCAGGTGGCTGCCCGAGACCTTCCCCGATGTCTTCCTGTCCCCTCTGGGCATGCTCGTGCCAGGGAACGCGATTTCGGCCTGTTCCCACCCTTTTCCAGAGTCCAGGCTTGGCCTTCAGATCAAAAGGCATAAAGCGAAATTTGTCCCGAGGCATTTTGTAATGAAAATAAACACTGGATGCAGTGGAAGCGTCTCCAACAAGTGTACAATTGAAGGACACCCCCACCCTTATCCCCCCCCCCCCTTTCCTGGGCTGTTTTCCTTCAAAAATGAGCAAATAGCAGGAAGCCCCTGGGTATCCAAGCCCTTCCCACGTTTCAGGGGGACGTGCGGATTTAAGGGTGTCTCTGGCCACCAAAAGAACAGGACAAATCCTGTCCTCTAGACACGGGCTGTGCGATTTCTCGCTGAAACCCTTCGGCCGGTGGTTCTCAAACGCTTTCAGGTGGGACCCTTGAAAGTAATTTTCTCCTCCAAAACAAAATGCAAGAATCGTACATCGGTTAACATGGAACAAGTCTGTATTTCTCATTTTGAGTATTTAGAAACGTGTGTCTTAATTAAGCATTGTTATAAATATTTCATGATCATTCCTCACATGAGGCAGAGGCGATTTGACATGGAGTCACACGTTGCCACATGAATTTTCGTTGGGGGGGGGCATAGCCAGTTTGGTGTAGTGGTTAAGAGTGCGGACTCTAGTCTGGGAGAACCAGGTTTGATTCCCCACTCCTCCACATGCACCTGTTGGTGTGACCTTGAGTCAGTCACAAGTTCTCTCAGAGCTGTTCTCTCAAGAGCAGTCCTCGAAAGAGCTCTCTCAGCCGCACCTACCTTACAGGGTGTCTGTTGTGGGAAGAGGAAGGGAAAGGAGATTGTAAGCCACTCAGAAACTCCTTCGGTTAGTGAAGGGAGGGGTATAAATCCAATCTCTTCTTCTTCTGCGTCCCCCCCAGTGGGTTTCCCTGGTGACCTCTGGCCAAGCTTCATGGGAACTGTCATTCTGTGATGGTACTGAAAAATGTCACTGGAAAAATCCCACTGATGGGGATACACTTACTTTTAACTGTATGCCACCTCTTTCCGTACGGACAGGCCCGCCAGATTTGGACACGTCGTATCTGAATTTCTTGTCTTTTCTGTTCTATCCCGTGCAGGTGACGTGGAGAACTTGAGCATCGAACACTCCTTTGAGGGCACAAACCTTGAAGTCGGGAAGATAGTCTTGGCCCTGTATAGCGGCCTTTTTGCTTATGGAGGCTGGTAAGGGCGTGTAGACGTGTCTGTCCCGCAGATTCGGGGAGGGGCCGTGGCTCAGGGGGAGACCGTCTGCTTGGCATGCAGGCGGGCCCGGGTTGAATCCCTGGCATTCTGGGTTTTGAGCATCTGATAGTTGGTGATGTGTGAAGGGCCTCTGCCAGAGACCCTGGAGAGCCACTGCCACAATACCGATGGTCCCTTTCAGCATAAGGCAGCCTCTTGTGTTCGTATTGGGGAGAAGCCATGGCTCAGTCGAAGAGCTTCTGCTTGGCATGCAAAAAGTCTCAAGTTCAATCCCCGGCAGCTCCAGTTTTTGTTTTTTTTAAGACGCCAATGTTGGATCAGGCCAAAGGCCCATCCAGTCCAACACTCTGTGTCACACAGTGCCAGAAATACCAGTGCCATCAGGAGGTCCAGCAGTGGGGCCAGGAAGACACTAGAAGCCCTCCCACTGTTGACCCCCCTCCCCCCAAGCACCAAGGAGACAGAGCATCACCTGCCCCAGAGCCCCTATCTATACCTTGTGGCTAATAGCCACTGATGGACCCCTGCTCCATAAAAAGGACAAGTCAATTGGTGATGGGAAAGACCTCTGCCTGAGACCCTGGAGAGCTGTAAAGAGGGGCTGTGGCTCAGTGGAAGAGCCTCTGCTTGACAAGCAGGAGGTCCCAGGTTCAATCCCCAGCATCTCCAGCTAAAAAGGACCAGGCAGGAGGTGATGGGAAAGACCTCCGCTTGAGACCCTGGAGAGCTGTAAAGAGGGGCTGTGGCTCAGTGGAAGAGCCTCTGCTTGGCATGCAGGAGGTCCCAGGTTCAATCCCTGGCATCTCCAGTTAAAAAGGAACAGGCAGGAGGTGATGTGAAAGACCCTCGGCCTGAGACCCTGGAGAGCCGCTGCCATTCTGAGCAGACAAGACTGACCTGGATGGACCCAGGGTCTGATTCCGTAGGAGGCAGCGTCACGTGAGTCCAGCGCTCACGAGATCTCCCAAGAAACAAAGGGGAGGTTCTGTGCCACTCCTTCAGGTCTGCCTCATGTGTATCTGTTCCAGAGAAAGAATGGGAGAGGTGTTCAAATGAACACTCTTATCACCTAAGCTACCATTTGATGAATAGGCATGCTCTGTTCAGGATAGCGCTTAATCTAGCACTTTTTTAAAAAAGAAAAGAAAAATGGGCCACGTTACGTGCCTTGGGTTTGACTTCCATGGCCAGCCTACAGAAACAGTGGGACTGGATATGGGTGGAAATGTTGTGGTGGAATATTTGGCTTTCAGAAAGCCAGGGTTGTTTTGGGGGGGTTTTTTGCTTCTTTTCTTGGCATTTGGAGGAAATGCAGATACGTGTGCAAATCCTCATGTGGTCACACCTTTCCTATTATTCCTTCCAACAATTTTTTATAATTATTTTATTTTACACCTCTCCTTTCCCCCCAAAGGGGCTCATGTAATTCTCCTTCAGTGTTCCCTCTAAGCTGAGTTAGTGTGAGCTAGCTCACAGATTTTAGCCTCCGGCTCACACTTTTTTGGTCTCAGCTCAGGAAGGATGGCTCTAGAGCAAACCGATTTATGCAGCAGCCAAATTGCTCAGTCACACCTTTAATGCCAGTAACTCACAAAGTACAGTTTTTGCTCATGAAACTCCACAGCTTAGAGGGAGCATTGAATCCCCTTCCATTTTATTCTGACAACGTTCTGCTGATGAACAGGTTGTGATGTTGTGCAAATGCACCATCCCAATTACCTTGTGATCTTTTGCTTTTAAAAATTGCAGGAATTACTTGAATTTTGTAACAGAAGAGATGATCAACCCATACAGGTAGGTTTTGCCGTGAAGCAACGTATTGACCGGTGGGGAAGGTGTGTGAGGAATCCCATCTGCTCTTTGTGTTTTAAAAGTCCCCTCTGTTTCTCAGTGTAAGGCTTTTGACCACCACCACCCTCTCTCCCCCACCCCCGTGTGAATGGCAAACTAACCCATTGGTTATCTTAAGAGAAAAAACTTGAGGGCATGATTATTATTATTTTTTTGCCTGAGGTGGAGAGTTTGCAGTGGTATTTGTGGGTGGTGTTTTGCTCCTCTATATATCTAGTGGGGCATCTTCCTTGGTTTTATCAAGGATCTCTGCATGTGCCTTTTGCAATGGCTCTGCAAATGCCATCAAAGGCACCCCAGTGTTCCCTCTAAGCCGAGTTAGTGTGAGCTAGCTCACAGTTTTTTAGCCTCCGGCTCACACATTTTTGTCTTAGCTCAGGAAAGGTGGCTCCAGAGCAAACTAATTTATGCAGTAGCCAAATCACTTGCCAGTAGCTCGTAAAGTAGAATTTTTGCTCACAAGACTCCACAGCTTAGAGGGAACATTGCCCCTGTCCCTTTGGAAAGGTGGCATCAGGGGGCAAAGCCCCAAGGCAACCTCTTGCCCTGGTTGAGGAAATAAAATGCATTCCAGGTGGGCAGCTGTAAACGCATTTTTAAAAATGAAAAGGAAGATGGTTCCATTCCTCCTCCACCTCCCCCAGAATAGGATTTTCTTTTTTTAAAAAAAACCCCGCTCTTCAGATGGAAAAAGCCACTACCTGGAAAGCCCAGTAAAATTCGGAAGACACTCGGGCCGTGTTGTGTGGATTCGCTATGCTGTCTGGTGTTTGATATGCAAACGACTGAATTGCTGAACAAAAATAATTCTGTTGACTGAAAATAATTCGAGTTTGTTAAAGTTGTGCGCTTGTATCATATTGCCCTGAAATTAATGGCTCAGGCTAGCTCCGTCTCGTCAGATCTCGGAAGCTAAGCAGGGCCAGTACTTGGGTGGGAGACCACCAAGGAAGTCTAGAGTGGCTATGCAGGGGCAGGCCAGGGCAAACCACCTCGGACTGTCTGTTGCCTTGAAAACCCTATGGGGTCACAATAAGTCAACTGTGACTTTCCACCACCACCTGGTTTTCAATATACAAGCTCCTGATTTACTGAACAAAACCAATTCTGTTAGCCAAAATTAACTCAAGTTTCTGATATTGTGGCCCCAGTCACTGCGGTTTTCGGCGGGGGGGGGGGGGGCGTGGCTAATTTTCCCGGCACAGTTTGATCCGCGGTTACGCGATCAGACGTGCCGGTGGCACACCACGGGTCCTCCCCTCGGCGCCGGCGGGTAAACGAGGGACCGGAGGGGAATGCCGCGCGCCGGCGCGATTACACCACCGGCGTCTGGCGGCAGCCCGTGGCAAACGTTTACTAGTACTTTGGCGGTACTAGTTTTTTTACTCGCATTGTTGGCGGTAAGCCACGGGTGCGCTCCACTTCCCAGATGTTGGGGTGTGATCGCGCCCGGAAAATCCACCCACCATCCGTGCCTCTCCCGCGGCAACTTTGCCGTGTGACCGGGGCCTGTGTGTGTTAAAACTGTGAGCTTCTATCACATTTATTCATTTATGTATCCAAAGTATTCCCAACCACATTTCTGCAGTTTGCTGGTTCAGACGAAAAGTAAAAAGCTGCCTTAAGATATAAGATCCTGGAAGGTGGGGAATGTTTTAAGTAGAACTGGTTCTGATTTATGTACCAGCATTTAAAACAGGGCTGTTTATTCGGAGCAGGTTTACTGCCTTACTTTTGGATGACTTCGTTCAAACCTTGCTTATCAGATACAAGTGTTGCCAACACTGTCTTCTAGTCGTGCTTCCATAAATTTTAGCAATTGTGTGACTTAACAAGACTCGGCAGGAATTAATGCTCTTCCAGATAGTGCTGGTTGCGGGGGGGCGACACCCTGCCGACTTTTTGCTTGTCAGTCAGGCGGTGGTTAGAAGGCACGGTAGCATTGGCAGTTGGGGAAAGTTGGCAATCGTTCATTGTGTAGCTTGGTGCGTACGAGGCAGGAGGCAGCCCCGTAGCTAGGGAATTCATTGGGAGGGGGCCTTGGGAGGCCGGCCAGCTAATTAAATGAAAGTACAGTGCAGGTGGTGTTGGAGCACTTTGGGGGCAGCCCAGGAGGGAGGGGGCCCAGAAGAAACACTAGGGGGCCAGGCCCCGTGGGCCCCGTGTTAGCTACGGGCCAGGCAGGAGGTGTATCCATTTCTCCGAACTCGAAAGGCACAAGGTATTTCCCAGGTCGCTTGGATCACAGCTAGCTGGTGCTGTGTCATCAGTATCAACTGGAATGCAGATGCGAATTCTGCAGATGTCTTGTGGCAAGATTTGTTGGGAATGAGCACGGGGTCCAACACCCCCCCCCCCCGCAGCCTTGTGAAGGGAGAGACTCTCTGTGGCTGTGCTGTGTTGCCGAAGGCAGAGCCCTCCTCGTCCCCCAGAGTGCTTGGGCCAAGCTGCAGAGATTCCAGGGCGCTTTATTACTGACCAAGTATTTTTCCTGCGGCCGTCAGTGACTGGCAGCCGGGTTGGCCTCTTGTGGCTTTTCAGTCTGCAGGTCGGTCCCCACACCAAATCGGGAAGATCTTCCCTCCCTCCCTCCCTCCCCCCTCCGAGTTTATTGTGTTGCTGGGAGGGACAGACCTGCCTTTTGTTCAAGCGCTTGGGATTGTTTGGTTTGTTTGGTTTCCTGTGGGCCGTACCTAACCCAGCCGGTCCTTTGTGCTCACGCAGTCTCCTTTCTGTCCCAGAACTGGGACGTGTCCTTCATCGGGAGCTGGGTGGCTTTGCGGCATTTAATCCTCACCCCACTCCCCATCCACCCACCCACCCCTCGCTGGCTCAGGGCAACCGTGAATCCCTTTGAATTAATCCGTTCAAGGGTGAACGAGGCCCCTGCCGGCCAAGAGGGGCGAGGGTCCCTTCAAATGTCTCATTAATCCTTCCCATTTTCTCCCCCTCCCCCTCCCCCACCGCTGGCGTGAAGAATTATGCCTGTATCTGGGTTGGCTTCATGCTTGGCCATCACTCCTGTAAGAATGGGGGGAGGGGAGTGAAAGCACATAGGGATACATGAAGGTGCCTTCTACGGAACCAGACCCTGGGTCCATCAAGGTCAGTCTTGTCTACTCAGACTGGCAGCCGCTCTCCAGGGTCTCAGGCAGAAAAGGGTCTTTCCCGTCACCTACTGCCTGGTCCTTTTTAAGTGGAGGTGCCGGGGATTGAACCTGGGGCCTTCTACATGCCAAGCAGAGACTCTGCCACTGAGCCACAGCCCCTTTTTGCAGCACTCCAGGGTCTCAGGCGGAGGTCTTTCCCATCACCTCCTGCCTGGTCCTTTTTAAGTGGAGGTGCCAGGGATTGAACCTGGGACCTTCTGCATGCCAAGCAGAGGCTCTACCACTGAGCCACAGCCCCTCTTTACAGCTCTCCAGGGCCTCAGGCACAGGTCTTTCCCGTCACCTACTGCCTGGTCCTTTTTAATTAGAGATGCCGGGGATTGAACCTGGGACCTTCTGCACGCCAAGTAGAGGCTCTTCTACTGAGCCACAGCCCCTCTTTACAGCTCTCCAGGGTCTCAGGCAGAAGTCTTTCCCATCACCTCCTGCCTGGTCCTTTTTAACTGGAGATGCCGGGGACTGAACCTGGGACCTTCTGCGTGCCAAGCAGAGGCTCTACCACTGAGCCACGGCCCTTCCCCAGATAGTTTTGCGACAGCAAAGCTAGCAGAGCCTGAATCGAAACTGAGTGCCGTTAGGGGTGTTCCTGCGCCGGATACGGCCTTATCATTCTTCCAAGTTGTGGGTTGAGCAATGCCGCAGAGGAGCTAGGACCCACCTTGCATTGTGGAAGATGCGGTTTAACCATCCGTCCGTTAATGTCGCTCATGCGGTTAGTTCATCCGATGAATGGAACACCCAAATTCAAATCCAGGAGCACCTAAGAGATCAACAAGATTTTCAGGGCGTGAGCTTTTAAGAGCCAAAGTTCCCTTCGTCAGATACGAGGAGGAATGGCGATCTTTGAGTCCTCGTATCCCAATCGGAAGGTGGGAGGGTTGCTGCAAAGAAGGGACACAAGGATGCAGAGGTGTACAATACAGAATGTAATCAGGTTCATTAGAGCAGAGGCAAATGCTGGAGGGCAAGAATACAGAATCTAGAGTGAGGTGTGAATCCTATGTCCCTATTCAGCCCTGGGGGTTCCATTGTTCCAAATTTGTGAATAAACTCAAATTTAGCAGTTTCCTGTCATAATCTCCAGAAGGATGGAAAAATATTGTTTAACGGAGCGGGCACTGTTTGCTCATGGCAAACTTCATTTTAACAATATCCTGGCTAGGGATGGGCACAAACCTAAATTTGTCACAAAAATCGCCTGGTTCGTGAGCCAAGGTTCATGCATTCTCGCTGGCAATGAACCTCCCATGACCCTCCACGTGGTTTTTGGAGATTCATGAGGTTTGTGGTGGTACGTGTTGAGAGGGAACTTGGAAGGGGTGTGCATAGCTAACCCGAATAAAAGCCAGGTTTATTTTTTTGGCTTTTGCTTGGGTTAGCTATAGCATGGAGAGGATCAGCTGGGGCAGTGGAAGCTGACAGCTCCTCAAGCCAGGTCTGCATGTGGCAGGGAAAGACCTCCCTGCCGCATGCAGATTCTGGGACCAGCTTCTCCTGCAGCATGGGTTAACCTGCACCTCAGGAAAAGCCCTCCAAGCCAGGCCTGTGTGCAGTGGGGAGAGACCTCCCCGCCGCATGCAGATCCTGGGGTCAGCTTCTCCTGCCTGGCACTCTCTGGCCCACAGGGGGTCATTCTACCCCATCACGAACCTCATGAAATGAACCGGTTAGGTAAACGCGAAGGTTTGTGAAGGTTCATGGTTTTCCCGGTTTGTGCCCATCCCTAATCCTTACTTCCTGAACAAGTTTTCTAAGGAGCGAAAGTTACTTTTAGTCCTCGTTTATCGAATAAATACTGCAAACCGCTATCAAGCAGCCCCAGAAGGGGTGCATGTGGCATATTCACACACTGGTCCTTCCATCTCTGCGCACTGTGTCTGGCTGCCTGAATCACAAGTCTTTGTCACTGAGCATGATATTTAAAATCCCCACATCTTGGGTAAGGTAGCAGCGTTGATCAAATGCAGGCTTGACTTTGTGGTTTCTCTTTGTCGATAGTGGTGGAACAGGCGGTCAAGTTACAGCCAATCTATGGCAGCTCTTTAGGCTGTTCAAGGCAAGAGACGCAAAGAGGTGGTTTGCCCTTGCCTGCCTCTGCAGGGCGACCCGGGACTTCCTTGGTGGTCTCCCATCCAAGTAGAGACTTGTGGGAACCCCGTAGGGGTTTCAAGGCAACAGACGAACAGACGTGGTTTGCCCTCACCTGCCTCTGCGTAGCAACCCGGCACTTCCTTGGTGGTCTCCCATCCAAGTCCTAAGCAGGTTCCAAGATCTGATGAGATGGGGCTAACAGTCCCAAATTGGCACTCCCGTCTTCCTCCTCCTGCTCCTTCCCTTGTGAGACAGTGGCACCGTTAGGATTTCAGCACCATCTATAGTTAATTAGATCTACCGTTTCAGCCTGATGTGTTTTAGTCTGACGTTAAAAACTGTTCTAAGAGCTGCGGTGGCTCAAGTGGTTAAGATGCTGAACTGCAGGCTGTGGAAGGTCAGTAGTTCAGCAGTTCGAGACCCGGGTGTGCCGCATGACGGAGTGAGCTCCCGTCTCTGGTCCCAGCTCCTGCCAACCTAGCAGTTCGAAAGCAAGAAATTGCAAGTAGATCAATAGGTACCACTTCGATGGGAAGGTAACAGCGTTCCGTGCGCCTTGGTGTTTAGTCATGCCGGCCACATGGCCACGGAAACATCTTCGGACAGCGCTGGCTCTTCGGCTTTGAAATGGAGATGAGCACCGCAACCCTAGAGTCGGACTCGACTGGCTTTTGAGCAAGGGAACCTTTACCTTTACTTTTTAAAAAACTGTTCTATTTGATTGTGTGTAGACTGCCCTGAGGCAAGTCCCACCAGAGGGGGCGGTTAATAAATTCGATAAATAAATCATAACCTGGATGAAAACATTGCCGAAGTTTGTTGCTGGGGGGAACAGACAGGGGAGGAGGAAAGTCTTCAGCGTTGCTCGTGAAACACGCTGACACCCCTTCTGCGTCTTCCTTCTTCAGAAACCTGCCGCTAGCCATCATCATCTCTCTGCCTATTGTTACCTTGGTTTACGTCCTGACCAACCTGGCATACTTCACCACCCTGTCGGTAGACGAAATGCTGGCGTCAGAAGCGGTCGCCGTGGTAAGACGAGTCACTCGGAAATGGCTTCCACCTTTTCGGCACTGCTGAGACCGTCGGAGCGGCGTGGCTCCCTTTATCTCGGGTCTCCATCTTTGTCATTCAGCCAGCGCCGGTCTCTCTTTTTTCCCCTCCGGGAGGGGCCCCTCAGTGTTCAGAGCAGAGACAATAAGGGAGGCCTTGTCTGCAAACCGTCACCGGCTGCGTAATCTCGTGATCGGTTGCCAGAGCGACGCCTTGCGGAAAAAGCAATCCGTCAATATTGATCTGAGATGTCCCTTTTTTATTTCCTTTTAAAAAAAAATTTGCAGCGCCAGCCGTTGAACGGATCCTTGCCTTATTTATTGGCTGTAATTTTAAACCGCTGGCGCTGGCAACGGGTTTTAATTTATAAAGGCAGCCCTTGAGCTGTGGAGTCACTGGTTCAAATCCCTGTTAAGGGGAAGTCTTTCTGTCTAAATCACTTTTACTTATTGATTTATTGAGCTTGTTCATAGCCCGCCTTTCTCAGTTGGACTCCAGGTGAATTACACAGAGTGAGTCAGTACACTCGACAGGGTGGGACGTTTCAATAAACAGTGCAGTAAGAGTGGGGTCGGAGCTGCGGGTGGCTCAAGTGGTTAAGACGCTGAACTGCAGGCTGGAAGGTCGGTAGTTCAGCAGTTCGAGACCCAAGCTCTGCCAACCTAGCTCCTGCCAGCTCCTGCCAACCTAGCAGTTCAAAAGCAAGAAATTGCAAGTAGATAAATAGGTACCACTTCAGTGGGAAGGTAACAGCGTTCCGTGCGCCTCGGCGTTTAGTCATGCCGGCCACATGACCACAGAAATGTCTTCGGACAGCGCTGGCTCTTTGGCTTGGAAACGGAGATGAGCACCGCAACCCTAGAGTCAGATTCAACTGGCTTTCGAGCAAGGGAAACCTTTACGTAAGAGTGGGTTCAGTGTTCCCTCTAAGCTGAGTTAGTGTGAGCTAGCTCACAGTTTTTTAGCCTCCGGCTCACACATTTTTGTCTCGGCTCAGGAAGGAGGGCTCCAGAGCTAACTAATTTATGCCAAATCGCTTGCTCACAACTTTAATGCCAGTAGCTCACAAAGTAGAATTTTTGCTCACAGGACTTAGAGGGAACATTGGTCGGGTTGTAGAACCAACCAGAAGTCTTAAAACAGGACTGAAGCAAAGCAGACGTGTTAAACTGACGCATTAAACGATGCAAAAATTGCCCAGTAGGATCCGTCTTTCAGCAAGCTATGCACAGTAGTATAGGCCACCGTCTGTAATAATTTATCCAAGTCACTTTGCGAGTCATTTAGTCCCATGCGACCCTATTGCCTGTGTAGAAAAGCACTCTTGAAGAATTAGTTTTGCATAGCTTGCGGAAACCGTTTTGGGGTGGGGGGCACTGTGAGGGCAAAACAGAAGGTGGGGGGACCCCACCAACACTGTCTTGAACTCCTTTTTTTTAATTATTTTTATTGAGTTTTCCAATATAATGCATACATCTACTGTGTTTCCCCGAAAATAAGACACTGTCTTATATTTATTTTTTCTCAAGAAGACACACTAGGGCTTATACCACAAAGGCATAGAAATCCTTATTTTTGGCGTAGGTCTTATTTTCAGGGAAACAGGGTATAGTGTCTTTTACATTAATTGTTCATCCATTTATCACCATATATACATGCTTCTAAACTGCAACACAATCACCTAGCAAATACAATTTCCTACTTATTCAAACTTACAAGCATCCAATAATTGTATATAATTATCTGTATCAATCTTCTCTCCTTGAGATAGTCCACTATCTAGATTTTCACTTATTCCAACAATGACATTTATTCTACCACTTATATTTGTCTTTATCACATTTTATATTTGCTTTAATTTTCCTCTTTATTTAGTTTTTCCCACTGTGTATTGATTATTTCCCTCCCGCCTCTCTCAGTCTTGAACTCTTCATAGGAAGGGCAGGGTTTCAGCCACGATAGCCGTCTCCTTTCGCAAAGGGCCCCACAGCCTTCATGGTCACCCTCACGACGACTCCGTGAGGCTGATCACTACATTTCCTGGTTTGCCGATCAGGAGCCCAAGCCGATATTGGCTTTATTAATGCCATCTCATAAGGGGACGGTGGCTGCGGTGGGACTTGAACTTTTGTGGCACCAGAGTTTAGTTCTGGGTCAGACGGACTTTCAGACCTTGCATATCCAGCACCCGCTGACTCTCACCCGCTCTCCTGTCGCCGTACTTCCACATTTCTATGTTTTTCCCCCCCACACACACACACATTATTGTCAGGAAAATTGACGTGCTTTCCTCCGTCTTTTTTGGCTGTAGGATTTTGGGAACTATCACCTGGGAGTCATGGCTTGGATCATCCCGGTCTTTGTTGGCTTATCGTGCTTTGGGTCTGTCAACGGGTCCCTCTTCACGTCATCCAGGTAGGTTCCCCACAGTCCTGTGCCAAGGCGGTTGGGAGACATCAGAGTCTCCTGGGGCAGTCAGAGAATTATTGCTATTGTTATTATCAGGGCTTTTTTTTTGTAGAAAAAGCCCAGTAGGAACTCATTAGCATAACAGGCCACACCCAACAGCAGAAACTCATTAACGTATTAGGCCACACCCCAACGGCACAGCTCATTAGCATATTAGGCCACACCCCATGCCTTCCCTTAGCTTGCCTGGGCGCCCCGTGGCTGTGGGAAGCCCGGGCAAGCCAGCCCTTAGACAGGCCAAGGAAGCCATGGGGAGGCATTTAAATGTCTCCCCGGTCCTTCCAGGGGGCCCCTGGCCTACCCGCCTTGGAGTCGGGGGGGGGTGTTTTGCTCTCCAGGCCTTCCCTCTGTAGCCAGGCACGCAGAGGTTTTGGCTGTAGTGGGCGTGGCCAACTCTGAAGCCAGCCGGAACTCCGTTCCTGTGCGTTCCTGCCCCAAAATAGCCCTGGTTATTATTATAACAATTATACCTCTTTTCCGGCGTATTTTGCATATCAATGTTTATGCTAGGCTGCAAGTTCCTGCTAGCTGTTTTGGAAGCTGATCTTCAGCTGAAAAGCAGGATCCAAATTTTTAAAATTTAAATAATTTGCATTATTTAATTGCCATCTGGATTGGTTGGATTTATGGCTCTACTGATGTTTTTTGTTTTCGTTTTTTAACTGTAATTTAATTGTAATTTTAAATGTTTTATAATGACTGTAAATCGCCCAGCGCCTGTTCACAGGGTGGGCAATTGTTGTTGTTGTTGATGATGATAATAATAAAGAGCTAGCAGGCACTTGCAGCCTAGCATAAACATTGATATGCAAAATACGTTGGAAAAGAGGGCGGTTCTCAGTGAGATCTGGAACTGGGCATGAGAGAATTGCCTCTGCCTCTTCTCGCCTTCTGAAAGAAAGGAGTCCAGCAGAAAATACTTCCAGTAATTCCAGGGGACATGTGCCCGGCCTCTGTCTTGTGTTTACACATGCTGTTTGTACCGGAGTGCCCACCTCATGAGAAGGGGGGGGATGAGTAAGAACAACCCAGCATGGCGTTCTCCTTCCTGCGATGGACAGAGGCAGGGGTCATTTCATAGAAAAAGAGGTGCAGGAGCTCATTAGCATAACTTATTTGCATACGCCACACCCCCTGACATCACCGGAAGTGTGTCAGAAGACAACACCCACCGCTCAGGCTCCACTGGACTGTTTTGGATTGCTAGCTATTGGGGGGGGGGAACACGCAGATCTGCCCTCACAGAGGAGGGAGAGCTTATACCTGAAGGCAGGCCGGGGGAGGGGCTCTGCAACTTACCTGGCTGCTTCTTGCTCCTCATGGCCTGACTGAGGGCTGCTGGGAGCAGAGGGTGGGGCTTCTTGCATGTGCCCGCCCCCTGGGCTCCTTACTGCCGGAGCTCCGCTCCTGTGCGCTCCCACAGGAAATGACCCCCGGACAGAGGCATCCTTCATCGCCACGCTTCCCCTTTGAACGGGATTGGTCTACTCACAACATCCCCTTGCACTGTTGTGACTCAGTGCCAAAAGCGCGCAGATGGCTGCTTGGCACAGAAATGACGCGGGGGGCTCTTCTGCTCTTTTCCCAGGCTTTTCTTCGTGGGGGCTCGCGAAGGCCACCTGCCCTCCCTCCTCTCCATGATCCACCCTCGGCTCTTCACTCCGCTCCCCTCGCTCATCTTCACGGTAAGGACGCTCGCCGGAATGCAGAGGACCCCCGGTGGTCTGTGTGAAAGGGCCATCTAGTGGCAACCGACTTCCAGCGACCCCCATCGGGTTTTCAGGGCAGGAGACAAACAGAGGTGGTTTGCCGTTGCCCGCCTCTGCGGCACAACTTATTATTTATTTATTGTTTATTTGTTTAATTTGTATCCCGCCCGCCCTGCCAGGCAGGCTCAGGGCGGCTTAGAGAGTATATATAAATATATTAAAACAGCGAGATACATTAAAACAGTAATAAAACCAGAACATGTGCAAACAAGTGCTAGCTAACATAGTACTAATAAATGGTGGCAGCGCTATCTCAGCAGCTAGATGCTCAAACTGCCACCACAGTCTGAGTTCTTGCCAGGCTATTAGATATTAAGTTGGTGCTGATGTTGGGGGGCCAGGACCTCGATGTTAAGAGGCGGCCCCTCATCAAAGGCATGGCGGAAGAGCTCCGTCTTACAGGCCCTGCGGAACTGCAAAAGGTCCCGCAGGGTCCTGATGTCATCCGGGAGCTCATTCCACCAGTCAGGGGCCGCCACCGAAAAGGCCCTGCCCCTCATCACCGCTAGCCTGGCTTCTTTGAGACCTGGGAGGGCCAGACGGTTTTGGGACCCCGATCTTAGTGCTCTCTGGGGAACATGTGGGAAAAGGTGGTCCCTTAGGTAAGGGACCTTGGTGGTCTCCCATCCAAGTACTAACCAGGGCTGACCCTAGGCTTAGCTTCCGAGATCTGATGAGATCAGTCTGGCCATAGGGAACCTTAAATGACCCCAAGGGAGGCTGGGCCACGGCACATCTCTGATGCTGTGCCCCTGGGTCTCTGAGCATGCCTTCGAAAGTGTTGAAGAGTGCCCCTCCCTCCGTAGCAGTTGGGGGCAAAGTGGTGTTTCAGGTGTCCAGAAGTTAAAGCCTTTGAGATGACGGAGACATCTATCCTAGGGCTGTCCTTCAGACTGAAGAAGGCCGTCACCTGCCCTGTGTTAATTACGGCCGATAGTTTTGTGCATTGATTATATCTGCTTGCTGCGTAAGTGGACAATATGACGGGGAAGCTCCCCTTTTCCCAGTCCGGCTGCATAACTTCTATTAATTTTCTTCATTTCTGCCCCACTTTTATCCGAGTGGGGACCCCGGGTGGTTTACACCATTCTCCTCTCCTCTCTTTCGTCCTCACAACAGCCCTGTGAGTTCAGCGCGGCTGAGAGTGCGTGACTGGCCCCCAGTTCACCCTGGCCCGGCCTCCGTAGGGACTCGGATCTTCCGGGTCCTTTTCCAACACTCATAACCGCCCCGCCGTTCTGTCTTCCAGCGTTCAGGCTGCAGGTTGTTTTAGCTGCTCCTTCTCTCTCCCCTCCCCGCAGTGCATCATGACCCTGATGTACGCCTTCTCCAACGACATCTTCTCCGTCATCAACTTCTTCAGCTTCTTCAACTGGCTGTGCGTGGGGCTGGCGATCATCGGCATGCTGTGGCTGCGCTACAAGAAGCCGGAGCTGGAGAGACCCATAAAGGTAGCCGGTCGAGAGTTCTCTGCGGGCGTGGGAAAGTGGGACATTAGAAGCCCTCCCACTGTTGACCCCCCCCCCAAGCACCAAGAAGACAGAGCATCACTTGCCCCAGAGCCCCTAGCTATACCTTGTGGCTAATAGCCACTGATGGACCTCTGCTCCATATGCTTATCTAATTCCCTTTTGAAGCCGTCCATGCTTGTAGCACCCACCACTTCCTGTGGCAGTGAATTCCATGTGTTAATCACTCTTTGGGTGAAGAAGTACTTCCTTTTATCCGTTCTAACCCGACCGCTCAGCAATTTCATGGAGTGCCCACGGGTTCTTGTATTGTGAGAAAGGGAGAAAAGTACCTCTTTCTTTACCTGCTCTTTCCCATGCATAATCTTATAAACCTCGATCATGTCACCCCTCAGTCGTCTTTTCTCCAAGCTAAAGAGCCCTAAGCGCTTTAACCTTTCCTCATAGGGAAAGTGTTCCAACCCTTTTATCATTCGAGTTGCCCTTTTCTGCACTTTTTCCAAAGCTATAATATCCTTTTTAAGGTGTGGTGACCAGAACTGCACACAGTATTCCAAATGAGGTCGCACCATTGATTTATATAGGGGCATTATGATATTGGCTGATCTGTTTTCAATACCCTTCCTAATAATCCCCAGCATAGCATTGACCCCCAAGGGAGACATAGTGTGTGTGTGTGGGGGGGGGGGAGTGAGGTTTCCCCCAGCCTGACCCTCATCTCCTGTCCCTTCCCGGTTCCCCCCACGCAGGTCAACCTCTCCTTGCCCATCTTCTTCATCCTGGCCTGCGTCTTCCTCATCGTGGTCTCCTTCTGGATGACCCCCAAGGAGTGCGCCATCGGCTTCACCATTATCCTCAGCGGGGTCCCGGTTTACTACATTGGCGTCTGGTGGCAAAATAAACCAAAGTGGCTGCTGCAGCTGATTTGTAAGTACAGGTGGTGGCGTGTGGGTGAACGGGCCACGCATGGGGAAGGGGGCACAGCAGAGTTTGTGCTTGAATAATAATAATACTTTCAATTTATGAATCGCTTTCCCCAGTGGGCTCAAAGCGATGTACAGTTACACATTTTAGACAGGGGACTAACAATGTTCATAGGGGATAGGGAAGACAACATATATTCATTTAATTGCACACGCTGTCACTGCACGGTGTAAACGTCTTCCGGCTTGGCGCAGTCATTTTCCGAACGCCTGCTTGTCGACCAGGCTTCAGGACCCGTATGTCGCATCGCCACACAGAGCAGTGAAGTTTCTGTTCTGTTTCAAAAGAGCAGGTCAGGAATAGTGGAGGCCTTGAACCCCAAAACTGGCCGTGTTCCAAGCTCCACACATGAGACGCACTCGGCACTACACCTCGAGATCCCTCCCGGGCTCTGGGTGGGTTTGTTAAGAAGCCCTTCACCCATATTGTACTTGCCTGCAAATGGTGCCTGCAAGGCTTGGGGGGAAGAGCTAAGAGCGATTCTCTAGTTACATGGCATTGCCAGAGCGTACAGGAAAGACCCCCTTTGGGTCTTAATGTGATTTTAAGGCTTAGACATATTGTATCAAAAGCCAGCCGACTTAGCATTTTTATGCAGTATTTAAAGCCCTTCAGGTGCATGGCATTAGTGTGCTTCTTACAACAGCCCTCTAAGGAAGGCCAGTGTAATTATCCCCATATGAAGTGAAGAGTGCCATGGGCTGAGACCACCAAGTGAGCTTGTGGCAGCAGTGAGATCTAAACCGGCAACATCCTGGATCTCACAGCTCATTCTCTGAGCTGCTGCTTGACTTTCTAGCAGCAAATGAAAAACCTCGCTGTAGTTCCTAAACAGCAAAAGCGACAGGTCTAGTTTATCTTGTATCTTAATCAGTATCTCTTAATGTTTTGAAGTATTTTTTGGTGCGTTTAATTCGTAAGCTGCCTCGGGCAGATTCCTGGAGAGGCATCGTAAAAATAAAATCCAAATCAATAAATATATGCAAGTTACATGCAAACGTAATCCTGTATATATTTATTTAAAACATTTCTTAGCCGTCTTTCTTCCTTAGCTCGAGGTGACTAACGGTACAAATAAAATACGTATAACAGAGTACATAAAAATACATAAACCTCGACTTTAAAACCACAGTTTAAGACTGCTTTAATCAAGTGCGGTCTCGGCTAAAACCATCTTCAGTTGCCTGCTAAAGCTTGAAAGCGAGGGGGCCGGCCCACCTCCCTGGGGAGATTGTTCCATAATCGTGGGGCTACCACTGAAAGGGCCCCGTCTCGTCTGCACACCAAGCAAGCATCTTCCCCCCCCCCCAAAAAAAACAATTTATTAGGATATATTATTAGTTCAAACATACAACATATTATTTTTGTTATACATCCTTTCTTCTCTTCCCCCCCACCCTTTTCTGGCTTCCCACAGTGCTCCAACCTCCAGCCCATTTCTTAGTTCTTTTCTATTTTCCACTTATCTTTTAGTCATAATCTACTGGTAACGCTTCTTTCTACTAGTATTTTCTCTTAATTAACTTTCCTCTAATAGCATTAACTTTTCAATAATTGTCAAAGCAAATTAAATTATCCTTTACATCCCAATATTTTTCTAGATACTCTTTAAAGTCTTTCCAATCTGCATAGAATTCTTCTGCCTCAAGGTTCTTAAGTTTCCTTGTCATCTTGTCCATTTCAACCATGAATATTAATTTCTTTATCCATTCCCCAATTTCTGGGAACCAAGCAAGCTTCTTTGATTGACGGGACAAGTCCGGAGGACCTCTCCCTGCAATCTTCATTCCCAGTAGCGGGAGAACATTCAAAACATGAGCAGTCCAACCCAGTTTGTCATCTGCCTGTACTCCAAAAAAGCAGACTTCTGGAACGTTTTTTGGCTCATGGTCCATGTGGCTTCTCTTTCGCCTTGGAAACTCTGTTTCTGTTTGAACGGCAGAATCATTAAGAAGTGTCCCTGGACGGTCTCCTTGTAACTAAATGACACCATCTGTCTCTGGCGCCGTCAAGACAATAGGAAAGGGCTGACCTAGAAATGCCGGCCAGTGGAAGAGCCCGACTTGCTCAGCTCTTTGGGGACGGGGCACACAAGAGTTTCTCTTCAGAACTCCAGGGCTTCTCTGCTTCCTTTCTTCCCATTTCTGGTTATTGGTCTCCATTCCCAGGACGGCCACTTTTATAGCCGCCGAGTGACAAATTAGATCATAACTCTGCGTCCTGCAAGCTTGTTTCTGCAGAGTATTCTGCAGAGTTTTGTAGGAAATGCGGCATCAAATGTTTTTAAGTGCCTTAACGCGAAACACGCAGTCCTCTTGTGTACCACGCTGCACTCGATCAGCCCCACCCCAGCATCCCAGGGCAGCCAGAGATTGAATGTCACGAGCCGCAGTCGGCCGTGCAGGCTTTCGGCTGGAAGGAAGGTGTACTTTGCCAAAGAGCCAAAAGGAGACACGCGCTTCTTGGGGAAGGGCTGTGGCTCAGTGGAAGAGCTTTTGCTTTGCATGCAGAAGGTCCCAGGTTCAATCCCTGGCATTTCCACTTAAAAAGGACCAGGAAGGAGGTGATGGGAAAGACCTTTCTCTGCCCAAAACCCTGAAGAGCGGCTGCCAGCCCGAGTAGGCAAGACTGACCTTGATGGACCCAGGGTCTGAGTCAGTAGAACAGAGGTGTCAAACTCATTTGTCACAAGGGCTGGATCTGAGATAGATGTCACTTTGTCGGGCCAGGCCATGTGTGGCATAAATCATAATGCCAGGTACCAGACATATAAACTGTATTAAAGGCAGGGCTCTTTTTGTAGAAAAAGCCCAGCAGGAACTCATTAGCATAATAGGCCACACCCAACAGCAAAACTCATTAGCATGTTAGGCCACACCCCTGACAGCACATTAACATATTAGGCTACACCCCCATGTTACCAGAAGTGTGGTCATCCAGCCACACCCACCTTTTGCTTCTTATTCTCTTTACCTTGTTTGTTGTCAAAACCCAGGGCCTTTTTGCATGTTAGGCCACACACCCCTAATGTAGCCAGTCCTAATGAGTTTCTGCTATTGGGTGTGGCCTGTTATGCTAATGAGTTCCTGCTGGCCGTGGCCAACTCAGGAGCCAGCCGGAACTCCATTCCTGTGCGTTCCTGCCCCAAAATAGCCCTGATTAAAGGACAGCAGCTGGTAAACTCCCGAGTTGTCGTATCTTCACTGCAAGGCCCCATGGGCTGGAAGGGTTGTGTGTGCAAAGGGAAACCCATATGGGCAGACTGAAGAACAAGAGGTGCAGCACTGGGCAGCAATGTTCCCTCTAAGCCGTGGAGTCTTGTGAGCAAAAATTCTACTTTGTGAGCTATTGGCCTTAAAGTTGTGAGCAAGCGGTTTGGCTACTGCATCAATTACTTTGCGCTGGAGCCATCCTTCCTGAGCTAAGACAAAAATCTGTGAGCTGGAAGCTAAAAAACTGTGAGCTAGCTCACACTAACTCAGCTTAGAGGGAACACTGCTGGGCAGATGCTCCCACGCTGCTTGACTGCTGTAGATGAAGTTGTTCTGCCATGCTGAAGTCACAGTCAGAGTGGCTCCACCGACTCCCCCATGAGCAGTCTCCTGCTCCCTCCCTTGTACCAGCTGCTTGCGGGCCACATAAGAGCCCTGGCAAGGGCCGCTTCCGGCCCCCGGGCCTTATGTTTGACACCCCTGCAGTAGAAGGCAGCTTGAGGAACGAATGCTGTGTCTGATTAAACTGGTTGTGCGGTTATCTGAAATGACACACACCTGAAAAACCTGATTAACCAGAGGGCCCCCCCCCCCCAAAAAAAAACCCAACAACCACCCCAGGGATAAATCCACAGTGCTATTTTCATTTTATTTCTTTGAAATTTCCATCTGATCCAGGCTCATCTAGGCAGCAAACATTAAAACATTTGAACAAATGCAAATAATTTAAACTTGTAAAATGATTCAATTTAAAAAACCAAAACCCAAAGAACACCAGCGCCGGGAAGGAGGGGGGGGGGGGGGGGAGGATATGGTGGGGGGGGGGGGGGGGGGGGGATATGCCAAACAAAACGGATAAGCCTTCATTTGCTGGTAAAAGATGCCAGTAGAAGAAGACAGACAATTCTCCCTCAGGAGGAAGTTTCAAAGTTTTGGTGCTGCAACCGAGAAGGCCCTTTTGTTGGATTGCCATCCATCTAGCCTTAGATGGCGGGGGCACCTGAAGCCATACCTTTCGAGGCTAGGGGGGAGGCTTATTGGTGTAGTGGTTAAGTGCGCGGACTCTAACCTGGGAGAACTGGGTTTGATTCCCCACTCCTCCACTTGCACCTGGCTGGATGACCTCGGGCAAGCCATAGTTCTGATAAGGCTCCAGAGTGGAAGGACAGCCCCTGGGGGTAGCATGAGTTTTCTGGGACTGGGATAACAGCTATCCCCAGGGGGCTGTCATTCCACTCTGGAGCCTGTCATTCTACCACTCTGGGGCCCTTGATTCCAGTCCCAGAACCAGGCCTGTAGCTACAGTGAGGCATTTCGGGTCCGCCCCCCCTGACTTAACGCCAGGGCCTCTCGATTTAAAAAATATATATTGAAGAGTCCAGCTCTCTCACAGAGCCACAGCGGGCAGCCTCCGTTGCAGCGAAACCCCTTTGCACCTCTCCAGACACTTATTTCACCTCCACTGCACCTGTCCCCACCTCCTTTCCTCCCTCCCTCCCTCCCTCCCTCCAGCCCTTCCTTGGCCTGAATGTAGATGATGGGAGGAAGTAACCAACCTTGCTGATAAAAAGAGTCGGCTGCTGCATTGAGTGTTCCTGAAACACCTATGAGGTGTTTTGCGGCACAAAGAACCTCACAATTCTCAAAAAATTCCCTTTTGTTCTCCCTTTTCCCCGTTGCCAGACTCCACGACGGTCCTCTGTCAGAAGCTGATGGAAGTCGTCCCCCAAGAGTCTTAAAGAACCAGTGAAGCGTCAGCGTGTATGGTTCAAAGCCAGCGCACAATCTTTTCGTCTCGAAAGCACGAGTATTTCCGATTCCTCGTCAAAAGAAAAAAAGTCCAAGCCGGGGGCCTCCGAGGAGACCGCCCCGGAACTCCGCAGCCCACGTGCTCTGCCCCCGCTCCCACCCCTTGCTTCTTACCTTCACCACGCCAGGCAGCTGACACAACGCAGAGAAGAAGAGTTTCCGGGTACAAACTTGAATCTCGCGGGAAGAGAAGCTTCTGCCGGAGTCTCGATCGGCCGTAGAGCCGGGGAACCCAACAAGAAACCAATTCTGTTAAGGTTTACATGAGTGGCTACACTCGTATAGGTCAGTTCTTGATTGGGTTTCTTTTTGTCGTTTCTCTTCTTCATTTTTGTTAGCGGTTTTAATTTCTCCATCCAAGGAAAACGAGGTTCCAGAGCATCCAGCATTTCCCAGGTGCCTCCAGAGCTGCCGAAAGTGAAGAACCCCAGGGCTGTCGATCTCACCTGGTGAAACAGAGGATGCTGGGGGGGGGGGGAAGGTTTTCCTTAAGCGTTACACTCCTGAACACGAACGGACAGGGACGTGCAGAATACAATAAAATGGGACCTTTACCTTGTGGACCAGCTCAGATATCAACTCGTTCCAGTCCAGACGGACTTGGCTACTCCAACATGAACTTCTTATTTGTATTAATTGTTATTATTATCGTTATTGTTTTTTAGAGATTTCCTTTTTAAAAAACTTTTTTTCCTTCCTTTGAGTCTCGCTTGTAGTTCCGCTTCGTTACCAACTTGCAATAAATGTTTTGTATGTTGTCCTGTCCGCAACGCTAACTATTGTTTTGAGCAATTCCGGTCAATGCCGGCGCACCGGCAGAAAAAGCACGTTCCGCCAGACTTGCTCCAAACGCACAAAGACGTGGCTAGCATTGAGATCTGTGTGCCGGGCAGGCTGGCTGTGGCCTTGCTCCAGCGACCAAAAGAGAAATCCAGCCCGCGCTCCGTTTGCTTTCTCACTACGAAGAATGTAACTTGTTTTCATCCCAGCAATAGGTTTGCTCTGGAGATCTGGAAGGTGGGTGGGGGACGAAGGTTCTGTGCACTGATCAACCCGGAAGGCTTGGGGGGGGGGGGGGGGAAAATGCATGGCAAGTCAATGGGTAAGGGGGCTGCCTTTGGGGCAGTGAAGTGTACCTGTGTCTACTCCAGCATGCATAGAGCACAATGCAGACATTGCCCCGCAGGGTCACGGTGGGTTCTTATAGGCGAGAAGACAAGGCTTGGAATGTATGCCGCAATCGCTAATTTTTCCTTTCACTCTTCTCAGTAACGGCCATCTTGCTTTACTTCTTGTTGCCACCAAACTTGGGACCACGTAGGTTAGAACTGAGGAGAAATCTGTAGTTCCCGGGAATTGCAATATGTGTACATCTGGACCAGTGTTCCCTCTGAGCTGAGTTAGTGTGAGCTAGCTCACAGTTTTTTAGCCTCCGGCTCACAGATTTTTGTCTCAGCTCAGGAAGGATGGCTCCAAAGCAAACTGATTTATGCAGTAGCCAAATCCTTGCTCACAACTTTAATGTCAGTAGCTCACATAGTAGAATTTTTGCTCACAAGACTCCACAGCTTAGAGGGAACATTGATTCTGGGCTGTTATTTTTTGCTCCATTGTTCTTGGGGGGGAAGAATGCTTGAACCTCTCTATTCGTCCTTCAGCGCTGTCTCACCACACACCCGTCAGTGTGGGAATGAAGCTTCCCCTCGGAAGCCCTGCCACCCAGAGCGTAATACATTTGAAAGCTCATTAGCCCACAAAGTTCTGTTGGATCCTGGTTCTTGGGGTTATCTCAACAGGGCCGTGCTTTCTAGATGTGGCTGCAGCCCTGCGGTGTTTTTCTCTCCTCAGTATCTGTGTGTCGGCTGGGTTTTTAGTCGTCGTCGGGAGGGTAAGCTGTGTTTTCATTGAGAGGAAAGAGACGTGGTCTTTTGGAGCACCAGTGATGATCACGTGGCAGTTGCGAGGAGGGCACCCTCTGTGGGCCATCATTCTTCCCCTTCGGAAACAGCTGTGTTTCCCTTCTGCGTGCCCACAGCCCAGCTGACCACAGCCAATCTAAGGGAGCACCGGTTCCCGAGAACACTTTGACCCTACAAAGCTGGTTGGAACCCAATGTGAGCGCCATGGCTTCCCTGCCGCAAAGGACCCTGGGAGTTGTAGTTCTGTGAGGGTGCTAAGAAGGGACTGGTCTCCCACCTAGCCTCGTCGCAGAATTACGGGTCCCAGGATATCTTCGTTGAGAGCCATAGGGGTTGGGAAAACGTTAAGGGTACACGTGCCTTGAATTGTTAAGTTTTGCCCTTTCCTAGAAATGAATGTAAGTCAACAGTTGGCCCACGGGGATGTTTGTTGCGAGGCCGCGTTGCTTTCTTAGCTAAATCAGTGGAGCCCTCAACAAATCCAGTCATTCCAGTGTCCTGGAAGCCCTTGATTATTTTGTAAGGAAGAATGTACTATTCCGCTGTCATATTAACAGCTTGTATCGTTACAGAAGAGGGATACACTATCTCAGCCTTTAAAGTAGCTTTTTTCCTTTTAATAAAGCCCAGATGTCCAAAACGGAAAACAACACATCAGTCCCTTTGCACGGTTAGTGCCGGTATTTTGGGTACATGCGGAGGAATCCCAGTTTTAGAAGAGGGATCGGGCGTTTGGCATGTCTTATCGATGCAGCTAGCTATCGGCGGCTGAGCACCTGCTTAAAATAAGCCTTTCTGTTGGCACCAGTTAAAGCTTTGTAATCAAGTTTAATAATAAAATGTCTCCTTTTCGAAATGTGCAATAGGTGGTACATAAGAACATAAGAGACGCCGATGTTGGATCAGGCCAAAGGCTCATCCAGTCCAACACTCTGTGTCACACAGTGGCCAGAAATACCAGGTGCCATCAGGAGGTCCACCAGTGGGGCCAGGACATTAGAAGCCCTCCCACTGTTGACCCCCCCCCCAAGCACCAAGATGACAGAGCATCCCTTGCCCCAGAGTCCCTATCTATACCTTGTGGCTAAGAGCCACTGATGGACCTCTGCTCCATAGGTTTATCCAATTCCCTCTTATAAGAACATAAGAGATGCCAATGTTGAATCAGGCCAAAGGCCCATCCAGTCCAACACTCTGTCACACAGTGGCCAGAAATACCAGGTGCCATCAGGAGGTCCACCAGTGGGGCCAGGACATTAGAAGCCCTCCCACTGTTGACCCCCCCAAGCACCAAGAAGACAGTGCATCACTTGCCCCAGAGTCCCTATCTATACCTTGTGGCTAATAGCCACTGATGGACCTCTGCTCCATTTGCTTATCTAATTCCCTCTTGAAGCCGTCCATGCTTGTAGCACCCACCACTTCCTGTGGCAGTGAATTCCATGTGTTAATCACTCTGGGTGAAGAAGTACTTCCTTTTATCCATTCTAACCCGACCGCTCAGCAATTTCATGGAGTGCCCACAAGTTCTTGTATTGTGAGAAAGTCCTGAATCTTCCAGCAGCACGTGTGCCTGTCGTTTGGGGGCAAGAAGTGGCACAAAATAACCTGCGACATTGCCGCTGTGTGGGAAAGGCCGTAGCAAGATGTAGCTTTCGAGGGCCGTCAGTAGTTTTCTCAAATGAGGGAGAGAGCAGAGTGGTTGAGCAGTGGAACAGTCTGCCTCGGGAGGTGGTGGATGCTCCTTCGCTGGACGTTTTCAAGCGGAGGCTGGATGACCATCTTTCTGGTATGTTGTAGGACTGTCTTTCGGCTCTGCTCCTGCAGTGTGCAGGGGGTTGGACTAGATGACCTGAAAGGTCCCTTCCAGCTCTAACATTCTATGATTCTATTCCTCCTGTAGACCAAGGCAGAACTGCCTTGTGTTTTCTAGGAGATAAACGCAGGGACTGCCGATCCAGCCTATTCAGTTAACGGAAGACCTCATGGTCGCCATTAGTGTCATCTTTTTCATCTTTGTGTCCATCCGAGCTGTCTTCGTGTTCCTGTTTTGAATTTTCTTTGCAGTGGGCCTGTCGGCTTCACCCAGGTGAAAATCCTGTGCCTGAGAAGCTTCACTCAGGTGCCTTTCCACCTTTTGCCAGAGCATCAAGAGTCATGCACCTGCTTTGGTCAAGGGGAACAGTCCAGTTTAAACGAACCCCCGTGTGGATGCTAAGGTCCGGATGGGCGGGCGGTTTCTCTTGCTTTGGACGGCAGCATGTTTAATTTGCTTCTCAGAGAAGAAAAAGGGGGCCAGTTGAGGCCCCCGTGGATTAGGTTGTTTGAAATGGTCGATGGCATGGTCTTCCTAGTGTTTTAACAGTATCCCGTTGTGTGTTGTGGCAGGACACCGGGAAAGCTTGTCCAAGCATGACTCTTGTTACAGATTCTAGAACTTGTTTCTTGCAAGACTCTCCTGTGGTGTTGAAAATACAGTAACGGCTCTTCCCAAACCATCTGTGCTAAAGCAGAGCAGAGAAGGCAGGCAATAGACTCACTTGTTGTCCGTCATGGTGGTAAGAGTGGCAGATTCGAATAGGGGGGGGTGTGCGTGCGTGCACAGATAAGGGTTATTATGGGATGCACTTTTTCACAGTGACTTGTTTAATACAGCTCTGTGGGTGGTTTTGTAGCAGATATTCCATCTGTGTCCCATATTACGAAACCGTTTCTGGTGGTTGGTTGTTTTTCAGTTTCAAGGAAACCGATTGCTGCCAACTTGGGATATTTCTGAGCGACGGGGAGAGAGCTGTTACCCCTGTGGCAGATTTCACATCTTCGTAGCGCTTCTCGTAATTGCAATTCTCGCTCCCCCATCAGTATTGGAGCAACAGGACTAGTTTCTGGGGCCGAGGCTGGAAACAGAGCCCTGTGACTTGCCAGTCGCTTGGATGACCAAGCGTAGCGCGTGGTTGAAGTGGGTAGGGAACCCGGCTGGTGCAAGGAGCCAAGCGGGGGGGGGGGGCGCTTTCCCTTCCGTTCTTCACTGAAATGGTCGATTCAGATTCAGGGAGGAGGTGCCATTTCGGCCCTCTCGCGTGGGCATGCGTGTAAAGCAGGTTATTAAAACGTTGGGGCCAGACTGGACATTGGGGGGGGGGGCAAGCAGAGATTCCTGGGTCTTATTTGGACCAGGAGCTGCAGGAATAAGCAAAGGCGTGGGCGTTGTCTTCAAGGGTCCTGCAGTAACATCTTCTCGTGCTGTGGGTGTAAGTCTGAATGCAGACTTGACGTGTGATGGGACTCCCAAGTCAGCACCGGACAGTGTGTCTCCTGGGGAGGGAGCCACAGCGCAGTGGCGGGGGTGCCTTCTTTACATGCAGAAGGTCCCAAGTTCGGTCTCAAGCTTTTCCTAATAAAGGGTCAGCTGGCGTGGGCACTGGGGAAACACCTCTATGTGCTAGAGAGATCCTGACAGTCAGATTAGGCAGTTGATGTTCAGTCGCACAGTCGAGTCCGACTCTTCGCGACCCCATGGACCAGAACGCGCCAGGCCCTCCTGTCTTCCGCCGTCCTCTGAAGTTGGCTCAACTTCATGTTCGTTGCATCTATGACACTGTCTGACCATCTCATCCTTTGCCGTCCCCGTCTTCTTTGACCTTCAATCTTTCCCAGCATCAGGGTCTTCTCCAGTGAGTGCTCCCTTCTCATTGGGTGGCCAAAGTATTTGAGCTTCAGTTTCAGTATCTGGCCTTCCAGGGAACAGTCAGGGTTGATTTCTTTTAGGATTGACTGATTTGATCTCCTTGCAGTCCAAGGGACTCTCGAGAGTCTTCTCCAGCACCATAGTTCAAAAGCATCTATTCTTCGGCGCTCGGCCTTCCTTAGAGTCCAACTGTCGCAGCCATCCATGACTACTGGGAATACCATTGCTTTGACCATG